GGAGATATGGGTTGTTCATGATGCAGCTGGCCTTTCAAATCCACCAAACATTTGGGGATAATCGGTGGAAGGTGCCCACGCCAAAACCTTTTTGGTTTTTGGCGCCCAAACCTTTCCCATTTGGCGTCATACGCCTACCGGAAAACGAACCTAGCGCTGTGACGATCTATCTTCTGAGGGGCACGACTTTCTGCGCGGTTGACCCTCGGGGTGGTCGGATGGGCCAAAGGGCTAATTGCATGAATGCCCGCATTCTTTTTCTTCCTCCGTTATGCGAAAACTTGGTTCCCCAGCTGTTGGTGGTCAGGACGCGCCTGAGCGAGCGCAGGAATAACGATTAATGCAGCTCTTTCTTTTTCTTTTGGGAAATTTGGGCATAGAACTTCGGCGTGATCATCGCGTGGGGAAATCCTTTTGAATTTTTAGACTCTTTGGAGAGAATGCGAGGAACCGCGTGGGTATTCGGAATTTATTTTGGCAATTAGAACTTTAATTAGACTAGGATTTTGGGAACACCGTAATTTTTCGGTTGTAACTGCATGGTGTTCCTTACTCGCGTGCGCCTTGCTGCGTTGTCTTGCACTCTGTTCCCTCCGCGCTTTAATTATAATCGCAACTGTAATTTCCTCTTGCTCCTCTCTTAGCAAGTGCGGATGTAACTGTAATCTTGTCCCTCTTGACTTCTCTTCGCGCCGAAACATGCGGCCCCTTTCCCTTTGTCTCATTGGCTAGAGCAGGCATGCCGACCGTAGGCACCTCCTTCCTTTCTCTCTCCCCTTGCCTTAGCGTAATCCCAACTATTTCGCGCAGATGCTAATTGATATAAATTTCGCAAGTGTGACTAAATGGCTCTTTGATCGAACTTACGGAGTTAGCGCGGTCGAGAGGATCGGCTAACGAGTGTGGGCATGCATGGAAGTGAGTTCACGTCTGGGCGATCCGACGAGCTGGTGCTGAGTGTGTGGGGTTGACGTGTGGCCGCGATGGACTGTGGGGAACAGGTGAACCCGGCGTGCATACTCGGGCTAAGCGAGATGACAGCTCTGGGTTGTTGGTAAGTGTGTGGTAATGGACTGCCTGCATCGGAGTAAGGGAGAGGATGGTGAAGTGGTGAGAGCGCGCAGGGGGCTAGGGTGTGTGGGGACTTCTCTCCTTGCCTTCTAAGAATTTTGGTTTCGGCTTCCGCCATTTTTGCCTTTGTAATTCCTCCTTTCTTCGGAGTTCTCTCGTATTTCTTTCTTTTTATGGATGATATCACGAGTGGTGATTGCGGTTTGATCGTCCAAATTTGCAGGCACAATCCTTTTTTTTTTTTTTTTTTTTTTTTGCAACCCCCCCCCCCTTGCAGTGCTAGTGGTGTAGTGGTGCTGACGAGATCAGACACCACTAGCACCCGGGGAGAGGCTCCATCTATTGGTGGGGAGCATCACCTGCTGGAAAACGGGTCCAGCGTCCCTTTACAGAATGAAGACAGAAAGAGTTCAGTATGAATACCGAAAGTCATGTAAAACCTGCAGCATTGACTACTCTGGCTTCCAGAGGATTGACTGTGCAGGTGATTACGGGAGGGGAGGGGAGGAGACCTCTTCGCCCCAATACCAGGTGCCAGATATCTGCTTCTAAACAACTGGTTCCTCCCTCAGCATTTGAGTGACTCTCAATTCCACCAGCATTGATTACCCAGGAGAAACCCCAGGGATTGGCTGAGTGGCCTACTCGTTTATGTTTAGAGGTGGAATGATTGGGGAACGTGGGTGCAGCCCTAGCCTTAGCCCATGGGAATTGAACGGAAATAGAGAAGTTGGCTGCATAGAGTTGTGTTGTGAACGGATCTTGGGCCACGTGTATACGTTATAGTCGGCCCATAAACCGGCCAGTCGCATGTACACCAGGCACCCGCACCCGGGCGGCGTTATTGGTATACTTCTGCATGGGTAGGAACATGAGTGCATTAAGGTGAATTCGTAGCATGGAATTCGGTGTCCCTTTTCGAGTAACAGATCATGATGGTTTAAGGGACCGCGAGTACCTGGACTATCGGGGAAGCGAATACTCCCCTCATCAATTGCAATCGTGGCTCCCCGACTTCCCGCGTGAGGTGGGAGTTGAGCATGTATGCGGGTGGGATCTACAGCAAGCCATAGACCGCAGCCCCCAGGTCAGGCAATACCCCGACACGCACACGTTTCAGGTTTTCGTTGAGCCCGGGTTCGTCGTCATAGAAACTGAGTTCCCTCCCACCATTTACCTGTTATCCCCTGGGGTGCATTGGACTCCCCCCTTCCGCTACTCACCGAGAATGCAGCATGCGGCTGAGACCGTCCGTGTCAGACTCCGAGATCTGTGAATCCCCTAGGCGCCACGTGTTTGAAGCAGCGGGATACCCACTGTGTTCTTTCCGTACACCGCATACGAACCCGACCTAGGTGCCGAACCCGGCCGTCCTGAGTACCTGGCCTTGGGAGCCGCGAGCTGAGAGAGCCTTCTTTCCGTCCGAACCTCTTTGCATTTTGGTCCTTGGAACCTTGACACAGGAGATCCCAGTTCCGACCTGGGACTCCACCCCACTTTCCTAAAATCCTTGGCACGCCCCCTTTTCGCAACTTCCGGGCCCGCTCGCACTCCGATCAGGAAGTCGCGCTGGGCATGAGGTTAGGGCGTCACAGCGCAGATAGAGCGCCGGGTACCTACCCAGCGGTCCGGACCAAATCTTGACCGCCAGATTTCTGCATCGAAGGGTCCCTGTTACCAACCAGGAAAGGTTTGGGTGCCCAAAACCAAAAATTTCTGGTGTGAGCGCCTTCCGCCAATTATCCCAACCGGTGGTGGCGGGAATGTCCAGCTTCTAAGCGGGTCTGGAAATGGTGGAAGTATCACTGGAGAATGGTGGGGAGAGCAGTGGCCCATGGGCTTTCCTGGGTTTCCTGCCTGCAGGGCTGAAGGCAAACAGGGGGAGGGGGTTATTTTGCCCAGGGAGGAAGAGGAATATTATACGAATCATCTGGCCGGACAGAAACAGAGCCAGGTTTCACAAGCGGCCTCTATCAGATGTGGAAATCAAGAGAAATTTCAAGCAGGCACTGAAACAGGCTATCAGCTCCGAATGGAGGAGGAAAGCGAAGGCGGCAGGGGCAAGAGGGGACAAAGGGGACTGGTTCCTGAAAACCTGGGCTAGGGGGAACCAACTGGCAGAGGTGCACTCTAGCATGGGCCTGGTCATTTCAAGATGGGTCCGGGAAACGTAGAACAGATAGGTACACAGAATAGCTAGGAAGTAGAGTGATAATTTCTTTCAGGCGACGTGCACCAGGGCACTCGGTCCCTCAGCCTATCACAGTAAGGAAGAGCGTCAACTCCCAACCAGGACACTCGGTTTCATAGGGCCGCAGTGGGTCATGTAGGAGACTGTGAATTAAGTTTGGACCCAGACCCACTGGGGCCAGGTCCACTGCTCCTGGACCCGGTGCTTGTCCCAGCAGTAGTGGTAACAGTAGCTGCAGTCTGTAGGGATTTCAGTTCGCAGTAGTTTAGTTCGAGGGACTATTTCACTTTGGAAGTTTAATACGAATGTGAGGAAGGAGTGGTAAAGTTTGTCGTTGATCTGCTTTAGGACATGGAAGTCTGTAGCAAAGCCTTTCGCAGGCGGAAAGCCTGTAATCTAAGCTGGCTGATGCTGTCAGTAAGTTAGACCGGGTCGAATTGTGAAGTCCTCGGCCTCATGCTACATTATTTGCAATGAATTGACTGTGTTAAAAAAAGAAAGCAAAAAAGAAAGAAAGAAAGAAAGAAAGAAAGAAAAAGAAGAAGAGCAAAAAAAGAGTGGGAAGCGGCATGTTCATGATAGTAAGGAGTAATATGACGCAGTGTTCACTTACAGAAGACTGTACGGACAAAACCATAAACACACACACACACACACACACAGAGTTTACAGAGTCCACCACAGACAGATTGTCCGAGGGCTCTACAACAGTACAACTCTCATTATTTACCTGATGAATAAACAGCCAAGCGGACATTTTATATTTTTAATATTTTATGAACGAAATTGAAACCTACTTATTCGGCCCCAAGGACGACACGGTTTGAAAACCGGACTCCCTTGGATGTATCCGCCAGACTTCAGCTAAGTCCAAACGGACCCGCAGGAACTAAAACGGTGACATTCTTAGGGCCAACTTAGAAGGTTTCAATTCCGTTCAAAAAATATAAAAAATTAAAATGACAAAAAATCATTGAAAAATGTCGGTTTTTTTTTTAACGAAATGGCTGCCCCAGGGGGTCTTAGGCCCCCTCTGGGGAGGCTCTGACGCAAATGCACATGGATCCGTGCGGCACACCGATTCAGCCACTGCGTTAACAGCCTAAAAACGTGGAGGTACTGGTGGTTTATAGGACATGGCGTTGGGAGGAAAGTTAAGGAGAAAAGCCTTGAAAGGAAAAGACAGTTTTAAGTTTTAACAGGTTTTTTTTTTTTTTTTTTTTTTTTTTTTTTTTTTTTGACAGTTTTGAATACAGACCTCAGTTAGAATCCACATGGAATGAAAGTTCTGAATAAACAGCGATTTCATCAAAACGGATGTATTTTAGTTTTTGAACGAAATTCAAAATCCAAACTGGGGCCAAAATTTGATGAAATTTTAGGTACGGGGTTCTGAAAACGCCCTACCCCCTCGATATATCTGGACTCAACCTGGGTACAGCATTCTGAACAAAAAAAAAACTGTAGCCCCCCCTGGATGTCTGTGGACTTCGGCTGAGTCCAGATACATCAAGGGGGTAGGGCCCAAAATTTCGTCAAAATTTGGCCCCAGTTTGGATTTTCAATTTTGGTAAGTAACAAACATGTCTGTTTTGATGAAATTGCTGCTGTTCATATACCCGGAACCGGGTCAGTTCAATCAATGGCAACATCTTATGGCAATCGCACTTTCTTAGGGGGAAAAAAAAAAAAAAACAGATGATGATGATGATGATGATGATGGCTGTTTGGTTCTCACATTAAAAGCATCAAAGATAGGATTGAATTCTCCCGTTATCTCCAGACTCCCCTCAACAAGCTTCTTCAGTCTCGACACGCTCATGCTTCCGCCCTCGCCGATCAAGGCTCTTGCCTCTGAAGGCTGCATATCTGCATCATTTTCACAAAGAAAACCACTTTCGTCTTATAACCTCAAGGCTCAATCTAATTACATTCTCTTTTATTGTGCCTCATGAAATTCATTCTATTAAGATGTATTTATCTATTTATCTATTTATTAAATTATTACATTATAAACCACCACCACCTCCGATCCTGTTTTTGCCGACGCTGAATATCACTGCGCACCGAGTTCTGCCGAGCCTGGGTTCCAGCGCATTTCTTTTCTGGTTCCCTGAAGGCAATCAAGGCCACCCTGGGCTGAAAAGGCCACCCGATGTCAGATTAGACACAATCATATTGAATTTACCTGGGCTGGTTAGTCCGATGATAATACCTCAAGGCCATCGCCCTTTAAAAAAAGAAAAAAAGAAAAGAAAAGAAAAGAAAAAGGAGTAGAAAAAAAAAGCAACAAGGTTCCCAGCCGTGGAGCCCGGGCCGAGGTCCCACTAGCAAAGAGGATCGGATCGAATGCCTGAATCTGGACGTATTTTATGCAGAGATGCAGAAAAGTAGTTCAATCTCGATTTCCTGCACATCTCCACGACCTGGTCCAGATTCAGGCATTCAATCCGATCCTCTTTGCTAGTGGGACCATGCCCCAGTTGTCCAGTACCAGTGAGAGTATGCCCTCAGCGAAGGCATTGATCACGGCAGTACATGTCGGGGCAAAAAAATACATAAATAGGAAGAACACTATGGACGGCATTGGGCGCGAAAAGGGTCAGATACAGAAAATCGACTTGAGGTGAGATTATGTGTCAGGAGTCCGTGTGCAGCGCCCTGCCTCGCTGGCAGGGCAACCAAAAGAAAACAAAAAAAGAAAAAAATATACAAAACGCAAAGTTAAAGCACACCTGCTTCAGGGACTCGTTCGACACCACTTGGAAATTGATCATTTTCAAGGAAGCGTCGATCCACCCCGCCCTAATCACACACCCTTGAAGTCGCTAATTGTTTCCACATCCCTGCGGCCAAGTGTCCGCCCTTGAAACGGAAGTGCGGCCTAGGCACGGCCAAGTGTCCGCCCTTGAAACGGAAGTGCGACCTAGGCGCGGCCAAGTGTCCGCCCTTGAAACGGAAGTGCGGGCCTAGGCAAATCGACGAAAACCCCAAGGGTGCCTCGGGAGGTCACTTGGGGCGCAAGGGTTTCACCGTTCGGGAAGCGTGATTCGCGGGTTTCAGGTGCTTTCCTCCTCCTCTCGGCGGAGGCAGAACTGTTCCTGGTACAAACCAGCTTCTGTTGGATGTCCACACCAGGACAGTGGCACAGGGGGAAGTACCAACGGCAACCCGAAGTGCCAGTTTTGGCACCGAAGAGTCGTCGCGAGAAACCGTTACAGGGCGGAGGCTGGGTTGCGGGGAGCGGTAGTGTGCTTTTTCAAATTCGAACCACTGCACCCCTGGCGCAAGGCCATAGTGCTGCCTTTCCGAGGATGCCCGTTGCTGTGCAGAGGAGCAAACGGGCAGGTTCCAGCATCCGACGGGGGTTGTGTGCGGCCTCGGCAGTGGCAGCAGCCACTCCTGTGGCCAGCATAAACTGCACGATCATGGTGGCCGTGCGTATTGTCCATTGTGGTCTCCCTCCTCTGCTTTCTTGTCGTGTTCTGACAACGCACGTCCATATGGCAGACCTGTTGAGGAAGACTGCTGTCCTTGCTCTCCTCCTGTTCACCTTGCTGGCCGTCCTTGTCGTCCAGCTGTGGCAGCTGGGCAGGCGGGCAGCAGTTCAGCCTCGCCCGAAGTCGTCAAAGAAGAAGGTTAGGTTTGTAGGTTCACGAAAGTCGATGGGGGATTCTCGTTTCCGGGCGGGGCGTGAGTATGGGATGGAAGGGGCAGGCTTTACGAGTGGGACAAATGTGCAGGAACATCGTTTTGACCCGGCGTTGTACTTGCATCTCCCCTCTTGGCAACAGCCTCTACCACACAACAACCATTCGGAACCACCTCCATCGACTCTTCCTCTTGGATGGGGGTCGACGCAGACTTCGTACGACGCGGTGCGGATACATCACCATCGTGCCGGATCCCTCGGTCCAATGTCTGCGCTCCTCGATGAACTTCGGCAAGGGGGTGGACATCCTCTTGATCTTCATCTATCCCCTACCTGCAGCATGCACGCCTCGAGGACGCTGATTGTCGACCACAGCAGCGATGGCCGTCTTCCCATGATAGTCACGACGGACATGCCTACGAAGAGATTGTCCAGCACGTCGGTAAATCGGCGACAGGAGGTGGCGATGAAGGACATAGGTGCAGCTGCGGCGGATAGCATGCATGGGGGTGTGCCGGGTGCATCGACGGCAGCGGAATCTCCGCGTGTTATGGAACGAATCATAGTGAGAGTGTCAACTGTCCGTGCGACGAGTGATGGTGAAGGGGGCGGTCTCAGGAACGTGGATTGTGAGGAAGAGGGTGATGTCAATGGCGAGGACGACGAAGCGTCGAATAGTGAAGACGTTGTGAAAGAAGTAACGCCTCGTGGGGGCAAGAAAAAAGCAGGCAGTGGCCGTGCGAAAGGCAAGTCCAAAAAAGGTGCCGAGGGGGAGGGGAGGGGACAGGAGGGGGCTGTGGGATTTGAACGAATCCCTCATTCTTGTGCGGTGCAAGAGGGATCGGGCGAACTACCTCGTGAACGCTGGCAGTAACTTCGTGCGAATGAAGACGAAAGAGTGGAAGTGGATGGACATATCAAACCGGATGAGGCAGCACGGGGTCAGGCGAGACTGGGACTCGTGCATGAAGAGGTGGGAGAACATGATTGGCCATTACAAGAAAGTGCTTGAGAGGGAGAAGGAGTCGGGTGTGCAATCCTTCTTCACATTGACGGCGAGGCAGCGCAAGGACGAAGGGTACAAGTTCACGATGGACCGGATGCTGTATGATGCCATCGACGAGATGCAGCAGGGCAGGTCGATCGGTCTGCCTGCTTGCCTGCCTGCCTGCCTGCCTGCATGCCTGCCTGTCTGCCTGCCTCTCTCTCTCTCTCTCTCTCTCTCTCTCTCTCTCTCACACACACACACACACACACACACACACACACACACACACACACACAC